AAAAAATCATAACCACTGGAAATCTAAAAACACATCCCCAGAAAACCATTGAACATTAGCTCAAAGAGGAAGTAAAACATGAAATTATAAACCATCCAGAAAGCAATGAAAAGAACACTTTTTAACAAAACCTATGGAAAAATCAAAAGCTATATTCAGGGGGAAATGCCTAATCACTATCATTAACATAAAAGCACTAAAACTAAAGGGAACTACCACTCATGTTGAATATTTAGAGAATGAGCAGCAAAGAATTTAAAAAGAGGGAATTAATAATGACAAAAGTTGAAATTAATGAAATGAAAACCAAAATGTAGAAATGATCAATATATCCAAAGCTGTTTTTAAAGATATACCAATAAAATAGATAAATTTCTTCTGAGACTGATTAAGGAAAAAGGAGGAAAGAGTAAAATTATATAAGATTAAGAATTTTCAAAGGAGATATAGACACAGATACAAAAGAGATTTTAAAAATTATAAAATCTACAACTACAAATTTGAAAACCCTGGAACAACTGGATAATCTCCTAGCAAAATATAAATGAACATGGGAACAAGTGGCAAACTCAAATACACCAATTACAATAGACCAGACTGGAAAGATGATTAAAGGACTATCATTAAGAAGAAACCAGGACCAAGTGATTTCATAACTTATTTTAGTTAACTCAAGAACAGTAATTACAATATTACTTAAATCATTCCAGAATGAATGAAAAGGGAAACCCTCTAATACATTGCATGAACCAGTAAAACTTTTAACACCAAAATTTGATACAGTAACAACTCCCCTTACTAAAAAAAGGAAATCATAATCTCACTTGTAAATACAGATGTAAAATTTCTAAATAAAATATTAGCAAGCAATATTCAGCAGACTCAAAAGAATAACACACTGTGAGCAATCAGAGTTTAATTCAAGGAATTCAAGAGTGAAATTCAATGTAATGAAGCATGTTTACCAAAAATCAGCAGCAAATATCATTCTCCTTCGTGAAAAAATGAAACCATTTCAAATAAAATCAGAAACCAGACAGGGATACCTGCTACGGTTATTATTATTCAGCACTGTCTTGAGGCGTTTAGCAAATGAAATAAACACTGGGGAAAAGATAGACTTTTTTTGCTAAGTACACAGTTGTATACTTGAAAAATTCAATAGACTATACAAAACAAAAACAAAAACAAAAACAAAAACAAACAAAATCCAGTACAATTAATGCAAATATTTGAAAAGGTAACTCTATGACATAACATAAATATACGAACATCATTACGCTTTCCTTATTCTACCATAAGCACCCAGAAACAACAATGGGGAAAATATTCCATACACAACAGTGAAAAAAGCAATAAAATACTGTTATGGACTGAATGTTTTTATCCCACCCAAATCCATACGTTGATACCTCATCTCTAATGTGATAGCATTTGGAGATGGAGCCTTTGGAAGGAAATTAGGTCATGAGGGTGAAACCCTCATGAAAGAGGTAAGTGGCCTTATAAAGAAGAGACCAGAGAGCTAGCTAGCCCTCTTTGTGACATAGGAGGACACAAGGAGAAGTTAGTAGTCTGCAACCCAGTAGCGAGCCCTCACCAGAACCTGACCATGCTGGCAGCCTGATCTTGCACTTTCAGCCTCTATTACTGTGAGAATTTCTGTTGTTTATAAACCACTCAGTCTATGGTACTTTGTCACAACCACCCAAACTGACTAAGGCAAATACTTAGGAATAAACTCAGCAAGAAAAGCACAAAACTTATATAATGACAACCATAAAATCACACTGAAAGATAAATTTTAAAATCTGAGCAAATGAAAAGACATCTACATTCTTAGATGGGAAGATTTAATATCAGTTCTCTTGATATCATGAATATGTGCAATTAAAAAGCAAGTAAAATACGGATTCATAAAATAGAAAAGTTAAAAGCCGAGGAAACCTAAATCAACCATAGACTTTGGTTAATACTAATGCATCAATATGGGTTCATTAATTGTAACAGGTATCATACTAATGTAGAAGGTTAACAGACGAAACAGTAAGAAGTGTACAGAAACTCTCTGTACTATCTTCACAATTTTTCTGTACATCTAAAACTGTTTTAAAAAATAAAGTTTATTTTTAAAAACAGATTTGTAATAAAATTAGAAAAGTTTTCTTAAAAAAATAAACAAATATCATTTCAATTAAATGGATTAAAGTATCTTAAAGTTTAGAGAGAAAATAAATGCCCAAGAAAGCAAATAAATGAATGAACTATAAAGCCACTGTAATTAAATCAATATCAAGTATTAGTATCAGAACAGATAAATCAATCAGTGGACCAGAAAAAAGAATCCAGAAATAAAATCCAGTTTATATGAGATTTTAACATATGACCAAAATGCATTTCAATTCAATGGGGAAAGAGTGACTATCTAACAAATGGTGCTGGCACAACTGGCTACCCATCTGGTAGAAAATAGTCCCCAGTCTCATATTGTAAATAAAAAACAAATTCCAGCTGGAGAAATGCCTAATGTAATAAATAAAGCATCAAAAAGTTAGAAGGAAGGCTAAGAAACAGCACTTACAATCTGTTTTTTAACCAGAAAGGAAAAATAGCCATATCTGAGTTTACAAAAATTAAACACAATTTATGTTGCAAAAGCTATCATAAACAAAACTGACAGGCAAATGATAAATTCCGGAAAACAGTTGCAAAAGAGATAACAGATAATGAGCTAGTAGTCATCACCAATATACAAAGTGCTGTTAAAAACTGGCAAGAGACCAGCAATCCAGTGGGAAAATGGGTAAAGGTTGTGAAAAGAGAATTTGTGTGAACAAGTCCACATGCATGAAGATGCACAAACGAACCAATAATTAGAGAAACGTAAATTACAGTAAAAAATAACACGTCACTACTCTCAAACAGATAAAAGAAAAAGAGAGAGCAACAGTACCAATTGCCAACATGACGAAGATTTTCAAAAATGTAAATTGCTTACAGTTGTTTTGAAAAGCTGTCTGACAAATATTTTTAAAGTAGAAGTACATAGAAACTTTAGTCAACCAATCACACTCCTGGGAATTTATCCCCTAAAATAAAATCACCAATAAAGTGTTTATTACAGCATTGCTCTTATTGCAGGGGAAAAATACAAATAAAAAATAACACAATGAGTTCCTAGCAATAAGGAATAAATAATGATATACCTATACTGTGGAATATTAAGCAGCCATTAAAAAGACTGAACTAGTGCTGTATGTAACATTTGACTTGGAGGGACTTTCCTAGGTGTATTTTTGAATGATAAAAGTGAGATGCAGGGAGGGGCATACACCATGATCCTGTTTTTAAAAAGCAGATATTGAATAAACCCCCAAAATATATGTGCACCCAAGTGAGTGTGTATATGTGTGTGTGTGTGTGAAGGACATGGAGACAAAACACAAAAGAAAACACACCAGGTTGCTAACATAAATGACTGTCAGTGTGGCAGGGGAGGGGGTGTGCAGGGGCTAGTGAGAAAAAACTGGGCAGAATGTATGATACAATTACATAGATGTTAAGGAAATTATCAAAAATCTGCTATAACATGGATTGGGATATAACATGATTGGCACGAGTGCCCATCCTCCATGTAGTCCTCATTCTCAAACTGTTTCATGGTAACTTGGCATTTTTCTCATCCATTGACCTATTAGTTCTGTCAATGTTAAGTCTCACAATCCTTTCTTTTTTGTATTTTGTGACAATCCTACTGAAAAATAGTTTTTTTCATTTACTGTCACCCATATTTTATGAAATTGAATTTGTGCACCCCACTTTTCAAGTTGGGGTACAGTTTTACACACAAATGCAAGTATGTACCTTATACACAAAGAAATTAGGAAAAATAAGAAATTGGTAGTTACAAGTTTCCTGACTGCTGAATATACATAAAGTGAAAAAACTAGTTATAAAAAAATGCATAAAGTATTCTATTTCAGTAAAAACAAGCAAAATCCTAAGTATAAATGTACTCTTAAATATTTTCAAGTGAAAGGCTAAGCTTCACAGAGGATTCACAAAGCCACTGGCTCAGGTTACATAAAGGGAGAGAAATAAATGGGAGGGACCAATTACTAGCTTTGCTTTTATACCTCCCTGTATTTTATTACTTCACTTATTATAATAAGCAAAAAAAATTATTGCTTTTGAAATCTAAAAACATTAAGTAAAGAAAACAAAGATAAATTGCAAACGATAAAATAAACTAAACTGGGTATTAATTAGTACCTACCTCATAAGATTGCTGTGAAGATTACATGAGCTAATTCATGTAAAGTGTTTAGTATACTGCCTAACGTGCTGCAAATGCTCAGTAAATAGTAGCTATTTTCACTTAGAGCAAAAACGCTACAGAGAGCAGTGGAAATCGGGAAGCTGAAAAGACAAGGTCTTTGAAAATGACGTGGTGTACAAAGGGCACTTTTTTCCCTATTACTGAATCTGTTCCCCTTGGACTGAGAGGACTCATTATGGCAACCATACAGCTCATCAAACACATGTTCATTGACAGTAAAAGTAAAATTACAATTAGATAAATAAGATGTTTAAACAATAAAAAGGAGATGGCAACATTTTTGCCTTGCAGGCTCTTTAAGAACTTCAAGAACCATCCTACAGCACAATGCTTCTGCCACAACCACTCCAGGTAAGCAATACTTGGACGGGGATGTTTTCCTCATGTTAGAGGAAACTGAACAGAACACAGTTCATACAGATGGGAGAGTGATGCTACTGCTCTTTTTGATGGCCTCCCCAAGTGGGAAATCCATTCCCAAAGGCAGAAATTCCGCTTTTGATTCCGAGAATTTCTTTGCTGGTCTGCCTAAAAGCATGTTAGATTAGTGATAACCTACAAACTGAATTCGTTTCATCAATACTGCTGGCTTATTGTCCAATCACCAAACATGAAATCAGTTCAGAAGTTGCACGAGTGTGTTATTAGTCTTATTACTTACATAGAATTGACTTTCTCCTCGGGGCCTTGCACCTGGCCTGTCACGGTCCCTTTGCTGGTGTTCTTCACCCAGCCAACCACTCCTATCTTCCTAGCCTCATCTTCAGTGTACTGGTTTCAGGAGAAAACAAGAGAGATGAAGTCCATCATCAAAAGTCTGAGAGCATCCTGATTTTAACATTCAAAAAGTACTAAGCTGATCATGTTTTTCTACAATAGAGTCTAGGCCAACCATTGTGTAGCTGACCTATGGTAATAGCTATATTTACAAGATCCTTCACTGAAGTGGTATTTTTCATTAAATTCCACTTTCAGTAAAGACAGACATGTTATGAGAAGATAGACTGATAGCGGGAAGTACTTCAGAAAACAGCTTACATGACATGTTTGGGATCCGTAAAATTTGGCTGCGTTGCCCTCACGCCTGCTAACGCTACATTACATTGTCAATCTGGGTTCCAGGTGATAATCACTCCAAGATTCTTACTCACTGAGAAAAAATATCCAGTTATGATCAGTATCAAGTATTGGATTAAACGACTCCAATGTTTTCTGTTGGCTCTGGACTTGCCACACAAATGTTGTAATTGTCTCTGGGTAAATTTATTTCTCCTATTATTCTTAATAGTTTTTAAAAATTCCTTTTCCTGGTTCCAAATTCAGTTATGCTACTGCCAAATGAAAACCCAGCAATATTTTGGTTTTGAATTATTTGAACTACATCATACTAAAATTCTCATAGCTCTCGTCTGCTAGCCCTTTTTAGAAACATGCTCTTCTCCTGTTTGGGGGACAGGATGAACAAGAGCTCTACAACCCCGTGTCCCCAGCCGAAAGAAGCAACACAAACTGAGACAATCCAGCTGGGATTGATGGAAGGGCTGGTTCTGAAACTAAGGTGAGCCTTCACAGATAATAAGGAAAAAGGAGGCCATCTGAACTGCAGAGGGTGGGATCACCTCAAAATGCAGAGAATTTACTTGTGGGAACCTGTTAGAACCCTCAGAGGTTAGGAACAGACACCCAGCTACTGATTCCCAGCTCAGACAGTAGGTGAAAATACATGCCATGTTAATATTTAGGAAAGGAGTACTATATTTAAAAAAAATAGGTATTTGTAAAGTCTTTTAAAATAAATATTTAAAAAGCAATATTTTAACTTGAGAAACCAAGGAAACACTTCCTTATGCAACATGGGCATTTCTTATTTTATAATTCAAAATATGTACCCTTGCCTGGAGAGTTTCTTCCATGCAGAACAAGTGGAAGATCCCATACTATGTATTAAATATACCTAATCAAAATGCTTTACTGGATCACCCTGAGAGAAGTAACTTTGAAATTCACAGAAATATTTACAAAAAACTAGGAAGGCTGTAATATTTTTAATAGACTGCTTTTAAAAGACATCCTTAATAAAAATCTCAACCAGTAATTTGAAAGAAATATGAATATTTCTTCATTTGCTATCAAGGACAGGAAACAAGCAATAGGTTAGTGCTAAGTAGAAAATTGCTCTGTCTCTGTGACTAGAAATAACTTGGGGGGGGGAAAGGCAAAAATAATAAACAGATTGTACAGACTTACCATTCTGAAGCAAACACCTGTAGAAGAGAAGGATAAAAAGAAATGTCAGCTTGTCTACCTTTAAAAAAATTACATATTTCCTGACTTGACTGTCATATAATTTATTAAATAGTAAGTAAATGATAGAAACAAAACATTTAATATCTGAATGTATTAAGAAAACATTTTTTAAAAAATTATTTTCTTTTAAAATGAAAAGAGAAAAGAAAAATTTCTTTGGAGAAGAAGAGTAAGATTCTGAAACTAAAGTATAATGAAATGCTAAACTGCATATTCATTCTATTTAATTAATTTATTTATTGAAGTAAAATTGATTTACAATGTTGTGTTAGTTTCTGGTGTACAGCGTAGTGATTCAGCTATATATGCACATATTCTTTTTCAGCTTCTTCTCCATTATATATTATTACAAAACATTGAATATAGTTCTCTGTGCTATACAGTAGGACCTTATAGTTTATCTATTTTATATATAGTAGTTTGTATCTGCTAATCCCAAATTCCTAATTTATCCCTCCCCACCTTTCCCTTTTGGTAACCAGGAAGTTTGTTTTTGATTTCTGTGAATCTGCTTTTGTTTTGTAAATAATTTCATTTCTATCATTTTTTAAATTCCACATATAAGTGATATCATATGATATCTGTCTGACTTCACTTAGTATGATAATCTCTAGGTGCATTCATGTTGCTGCAAATGGCATTATTTTGCTCTTTTTTATGGCTGAGTAGTTCATTCTATTTTAAAATGATAAATAAAACAAAATACTTATTACAAGAACAGCTAAGTATATTGGCATAAAATTTACCCATCCTCAGCTTTTAGAATGTCTTCTCTAAATTCAAGTTTAAATGTTATAGGACATTTCTATTTTAATTTTAATTCCACATTCTGGAAAAGGCAAAACTACAGGGACAGGAAACTGATCTGATTGACAAGGGCTGGGAGTGGGAAGGAGAGGAGAGCCCAAAAAGAGCATGAGGGGAACTTTTGGGGGTGATGGCACTGTTCTGTATCTCAGTTGTGGTGGTGGTGGTGGTGGTGGTGGTTACATGACGGTATGCTAAAAAGGATAAATGTTACTGAATGTAAATTATATCTCAGGGTTTTTTTAAATTAAGGGAAAAAATATATTGGCAAATCACAGGGGATAGATCAAACCGATCTCAGAAAGGTCCAAAGATATTGCTTCCACAAACAGCAACTGAGCCTGGTTAAGAGGATACAGAAGAAGAGATCAGTGGCTTAAGTAATTTTATGTAGTTTTGTAAGCAGATTTATCATAACAAGGAGTATCATTTGTTTCCTGATGGTTGTGTATTACGGTACCAAATGAAAATGAAGAAAAAGAGCAGTGAAGCAATAAAAACAGGATACTATCACAAATGAAATTTTTATGGGGCTATGAAATACTCTAAAAGATACACATAAAATATGGAGGAATGATGAGTGGGGACTATTGATCTGAAGGGGAATCAGAAAGGCATTCTGTTATACAGATGGAGAGAAAGACAGGAGCTAGTAGATATCAAAGGAAGGGGCAGAAAATTCATGAGAAACTTCAGGTCAACCGGACCGTACAGAAGAGAAGACAAAACAGGCAGAACTGTCAACCGTGCAGTCATTTTATCCTAAGACTGAGGGGATCCCGGAAGATGTTAACCAAGTAGAGCTGAAGGTCTGGGTTCGGGCATAATGTGCATAGTCCCCTCTGAGTTCCTTAACAGTGCACAGCCCCAAATAATGCTGACATTAAGGAAAGAAAGCATATCAACTGAAGTAAACAGAAATTGGAAACATATGGTCCAGCTCTTGCCTATTCAAATTGTGGTCCATGAACCAGAGGCATAAGCATCACTTGAGGATTTTTTAGAAAATTAAGTTCTTGGGCCCCTTCCCAGACCTAAAGAAACAGAAACACTACAGATGGAGTCCAGGAATCCAGTTTTAATATGCTCTCCAGGTGATTTTATGCCCACTAAAGTTTAGAATCAATGGTTGGCTCCATCTTAAAGGAAGGTCTGGGGAAGGTTTGAAAAGGACTTATATTTCAGGTAAAGAATTGTATCACAAGGGGGAAAATGCAAATCTTGTAGGATGCTGCAGATCTGATGTGTTTCCCACCGATGCTGTTCAAGTTCGTCTTTGCATATCAATATTGCCTCAGCTATTTCATAAGTCGGCAGCACTAAGTGAAAAAAACTATGGACAATGAAAAGGCAAAAAACAAAAACCCTGTCCTGCGCTCTAATTGGACTTGGTATTGGAGCAGCCTATGCAGCCTGTCACTTTGATCACTGCTCCCATCCTTATTACCCACCACCAGAAATACCGGAGCTGCCAGAGAGAAGGTTGAAACATGCTGCCCACCCCTAACCTCCACCCCGCCGGCACCCCCATCCCCACCTCTACGCCTCCGTGAGGAATAATACCTTTCAACAATTATGAATCCCCAGCAGCTGTTTCACCATCTATTTACTGATGACAAAAAGGCCATTTGCTTACAGTTACAGGGTTTGAGAAATCTGTAAAAGAGGTACTCCACACATTGCAGAGTTAAGGAAATTACCTACTGCAGTCTACTGATATAATAACTAGTTCCACACAGACATAGTCTAAGAACAAGGCATCTCAGATATATTTAATAAGCAGACTATTCGACATTCTGACTATTCACTTAACAAATATTCATTAATTGTCTAATTCTAAATGCAGAGAATGAGATAAATAAATAAGACAGTCCTTGCCATCTAGGAGCTTACAGTCCAGTGGGGAAGACAGACAAGTCAACTGGCAATTGAAACGCAGAACACAACAGGGACAAACTTCTGATTATAAGATATGTAAGACTAGGGATGTAGGGTACAACATGATAAACATAATTCACACTGCTGTATGTTAGATATGAAAGTCGTTAAGAGAGTAAATCCTGAGTTCTCATCACAGGGAAAAAAAATTTCCTATTTCTTTAATTTTGTGATGACCTATACGAGATGATGGATGTTCACTAAACTTACTGTGATAATCATTTCATGACGTACATAAGTCAAATCATTATGCTGTATGCCTTAAACTTATACAGTGTGGTGTGTCAATTATATCTCAATAAAACTAGGGGGAAAAGAAAAAAGAAGAAAATGTTAAAAAATAAATAAAAATATAACTATGGTGAGTTGTAAAACGCATAAACCAGGATGCAAGTAGGAGTTCACAGGACAAACAAATGACCCAGTCTTGGGTGATTTTAGGGTAGGTTTATTGAAACAGGGTCTTTGAGATGGAAATGATGAGCAAAAATTAGTATGATGAGAATGGAATAACATTACACATGGAAGAGCATGTGCAAAGTCCCAAAACCGGGATCACCGTCTCCTGATACCATAGTTAAATATTCAAAACCATATCATCGCACTCATTTTACTAATGATTTCTAGCCCCAAACTTCGTTTAAGACTTGCTAAACAATAGCTTAATTCTGTTTCAACTGTTTCTAGAAAAATGCGTAAAGATGTTTTTACACCCTGGTCCAAGGTATCATTGTCTTTCAACTAATCCACAGCAACTGCCTCCTCAAGTAGTGTCCCTGCATCTAGTTCTGCCCTCCTACAGTCTAGTCTCCATAAAGCAGCCAAGGTGGTTTTCTTTTCTTAAGTAAAATAGAATCACTTCTTTCCCCAGTTTAAAACCCTATAGTAGCTCCCCATTTACCTTCAAAATAAAATATATTCTGGTTACCACAGCCTCCAGGCCCCTTTCTAATGCTCTACCTCACCTCTTAAGACTCGCCTTTGCTCATTCCATTCCAGCCAAATGTTCCTTCTTTGTGTTCCTCAACATCCCAAGCATATTCCTGCCTCACGGCCTTTCCATTTACTGTTCCCTCTGCTTGAAATGCTTTTCCCCTGATCTTCTCATGGTTGGCTCCTTCTCATCATTCACATCTCTGCACCAATGTCATGTTCACAGAGAAATATACTCCCTGACCACTTATCTAAGACAACAATGTACTTGTATACATTTCCTGGATATGCATATCACTGATTAACATATTACATTATTATCTATTTATCTGTTTACTTTATGTTCATTTCCTGTCTTCACTGTCAGTTCTTTTAGGGCAGGATTTTTTCTGTCTTGTTCACCACTATGCCCCCAACACCTAGACCAAAGCTTGGCACATAGTTCAATAAATAAAGGAAAGAAAAATCATCTGGAGTATATTTAAGTGAAATGTTTTATTTGTCCTGTAATAATTCATTATTAACATTGCAAATATATATATATAATGATATTGACCAGAATTTAAGTTTAATTTCAAAGTGATGATGATAAATTTACTGCATTCAAAGATGGAAAGAATCATAAAAATTCTGTATTGATTCTAGTAGAACTTAACCTAAATGGTAATACATAGTGTTTGGTGTGTGTATGTGTGTCTGTTTATACATAATATACTATATGCTATAAAGAGTTGAAAGAAGTCACTAGATAATGCCTAATTTAAAAAAATCAAGAAATATTAATATGAGTATGTGGCTTACAAATGAAAGTTTAACAACACAAGAACTGAGAAAAAAAATTGGTTGTCTACAGAACTTAGAGGACTTGGGATAGGAGACTAGAGCAGGATATGGTGGCTGTATTTATAACTGTGAATGATAATGGGCACACATACACTTATCTTAAAACAGTAGAACTAAAGGACTGTCCTTTAAGACTTAATTTGAGGCTAAGTTCATACTGCTTGACAAACAGGTAGATAATACAAGTGTTATTCATTGCTTTAAGCAGTGATGGATGGAAAAAACACTAGACTGAGATAAGTCATATATGAAAGACTCGATATGTATTTAATAGAAATTTAGGTTATCTTGGTTGTGGATGAAGTGTTTTGAGGTTGAGATCATGGAGATCAAAGTCTTTCAGTAATCAGAAAGCATCACTCTTTGGGAAAGAATACCAAATGTAATTATTACGTTGTTAAATTTCTTTAGTATGTGAATATGCATGGCAGACACT